GGAGGAAAACGCAAGGTCTGGAAATTTACCGACCGCTCAAGCAGATTACCCAAAATTTTTCACTGCAGCGCCTTAGCGGCGCTCTGTCAAAGCCGAGCAATGAGAGTTCTGCGTCTTCGTTTGCTCATTGAACCATTCGAACTCAGCTGTTCAGCTTCGTCTTGGTTTACTCTGACGCAAGGGGCGAGTGCGGGATTGCTGGGAACGCTCGCTGACGCGACCGATGGAACAAGGCTGATGAATGGATTTTGTCGTTGACAAGAATTTGTTCAGCTGCTCCTGCGAGGAGTGGCTGTCTTTCCGGAACTTGTATTTCGCTCTGCGGAGCACCGATGTGATTTGCAAACCAAACCGTAGGCCGCCGACGTCTGATTCTCCAGGGGTGAATCCGATTGTGATGCCATCGTGCCGGAGCCGACTCCGAAATTCATGAAAACCCCATTAACAATTTTTCAGTCGATGCTCATCTGATAATTTCATGTCGCGCGAGCCTAATCTGAAACTTCTTCGAGAGTATGTCATTCCGCACCGGCACCCGCTAAACGATACCGGTCCGGCGTGAGCCGCTAAAACAAAACTCGAGATTGACTGCGACCGATATCGAAAATGATCCGCACGGCAGCTCTCGATACAGTCGTTGTAAATCTCGATCGAAATTGGATACTAAGTTGGCACGGATATGCTGAACTGTTGAATCTCCGCTCGTGAGACTGCTGCGATGATACGAAAGCTCCCAAGCTGAACTCTTTCTGGATCCAGTTAATTTGTGACGTGAGAGAAGAGGGGAACTCGGGGTGGCCTATGGTGCGGACTCGAGTCATTGCCATTCCGATTCATCGGGGAATGCCCCTCCGACGGACAATGGATGCGACGCGCAGTGAGGATCAAACAAGAGCGCGCAACTTCCAGTGGTGAAATGTGGCATTCTTCAGCTAGAAGAGCTAACGCATAGAAGAGCTCCAGGCCCGGGATCGTTGGCACGCGATCGGCTGTCAAGAGCCCCTATGGTCTGGTTGCATCTGAATCAAAATAAATCTTTCTTGATCGCCGCCATCAAGGTGACTCGCGGCTGCGAAAACTCGATCGCTCACGCAACATTTCTTGGAAACACAGTGTGCTGGGCTGAGGTGATTTTCTCGATCGCATAAACACCGCAACGAAGCGCCTTACTGGAGTCGTCGAGCTTATCTCCGCCGACGACAAGGGTCATATCGCGTACGATTGTTTGGAAGTTCCGGAATTCAGTCGGACGTGAGGCGGTACATCGCAAGCGCGACATTTATGACGGGAAACCGGCGGAAAACTCCGTAATCACTATTTGTTATTGTTGTCTCACATTCCAAGGCCCAATCACTCCATTTTCGACTCGAGGTCTCCGGGGCAATAGACGGAGGGTCGAGTTCAAAAGTCGCTCTCCTTGTAATTTCTTTCCGGGGCAGGGGTTGAATCGTCTCCAATATCGCGGCAGAGGGCGCTCGAGCTGAGCTAGACCAGATCCATGATTTTTCTTCCTGGAATTCCTAGGCTCGAAAAGGGCTGGCCTTGCCCACCACATCCGAGGCTCTAATTCAAAATTGTAGAGGAGCCGCTTCTGAACGGCCGCGAGTCGTGAATGACCGAGTGAACACTTTATGAGACCTGGTGGCGGGTGCCCGACGGGAGGGTATTCGAAGGGAACAGAGGGAGGGAGTCGTCTCTGATCATTGACACGCTCGGAACGCTGTGACTCCTGAGGAGTCGCCGTCGGACAGTGGGATCCTCGATCCGAACTTAACCTATATCCAAGTTAGGGCAGCTCACGTAGGATGGTTCGCAACGTCATCGATATCGCTTCCGAGCTCCTTCGGGAGAACCAAAATCGAGGATATCGTTCGCTTTGAAAGCCATTGTTCAGCCGGCAGACGCTACAGTCAAGTCAGCTCTCCAGATATCACTCATACTACTGATCTTACGATCTGGGCACAACATCAACTGATAATGAGGTCGATTGTTATCGAAAAGTGCTTTTTCCTCCACGCCGATGTGAGGTACTTTGGTTTCTGCTGAGGATTGTCGCTGTCGGAGCCGAGGATGTCCTCCATCTCGAAGACTCGTCCCTTGAATTCTGCTCAGTGGAGAAAGGACCGGAATCCCCCGCTGGAACACGGTATCGTCCCAAGCGACGACAGCGGTCGCTCATGTTCGATAACTTCGCCCAGGAGCTAGAACGAGCCGATGGTTCCAGGAGATCGCCGGAAAAGCGCAAGGGTTTCCCAAAGCATGAGACGATTCTGTGTGGCGAAAAATAGGTGGCGGACATGCGGAGATACTCCATCACCCAGAGCTCACGGCCGAATATTTGCCCATTCTAATGAGCAAGTTAAGACTTGGTAGGCCATGAATTACGAGCCATCCCGTTAGGAGCGTCATTAGAGAGATTCACTACGCTCACCTACACAGCTGACACATCTATATGAGCAGGAATCGGGGAAATCTCGCGAGAGACACCCGCGCAGCGCCAGAGGTCCTATAGTGCTTCCCTAGACTTTCTCATCGCGAGCTCTTAGTGCTTACATGCAACAAGACTCATGAAATACTATTTGGGCCAAAAACCAGTCGAGATGTGGTCCAAAACCAGATTTCCGATGCTTTCTCGTGACCTGGCTGATTCTCTCTGAAGTCCTACCCAATCATGGGGGTAAACTGTGACGTACTGGAGGAACGAGACATCAGAGGTCCAGATTCAGATGTTCGCAACAACCTCACCCTGAGAAATTCGGAAAATGATTGCTCATCAGCTCTCGTATGGCGAGAGGATACCTCTCGGGAGACCCCTCTGGTCGAGTTCTCGAATGAACATCAGCCGATGGCTTCTGGAGGACCGCATCGAAGCGAATCAGATTTTAGAGTCCGAGCGAAAAAAAATACTAGAAACACCTTGCAGCTCCCGAAGGGATCGAACGAGCGCAGACATCAGATCTGAGCGACTCGGCGAGCGGAGACAGCAAGCCAATCCACGTGATCGGATGACTTGGCGGTGTTCAAACCGAACTATGCGAGAGAGAATCCGCTACGACATATCTGTTGTGCTGTTCACGCGACATGCGAAAACTACTCGAAACCGATCTATTCGATGGTTGAATGAATCATTCAATCGAACGATCAAGCAAGCAATCGGAGTCAGATGATGTCCTCGTCTCCGAGAGGTATTTTTCGCCTGCGGAACATCTCGTCGCTGCTCACAAAAAAGATGGGGTTGGACTGGAATTCTGAGAACCCGCGGGCTCATTAGTTTCCTGGACAATTGAATCTATCACGTTGCTCCAAGGCAAGATTCACGGTGAATTTTCGGGGCGTGTAATGCGCCAGCGGTGCCCGCAAGGCCTGAGCGGCCAAATCGACGGGAGATTTAACCGAATCGGCCACCGGAAATCCAGATCCCATAACGCGTCTGGATCTGTCCCTGCAAGTCGATCCCAAACCTTGGAATGCCGAACCCGAATGGTCAAGCTAACCGGAAAAGTTAATGTAGCCACGACGCCGGTGCGCGCCGCTTTTCGAACACGGCTTCTCCGTGGAAGTCCAAAGTTCGAAAGGGATTTGTCGCCCGGGATCTGGGGAATAAATCTGTGAAGAGGCACGAGGAAGGACTGCGAACGGGATTCGGTGGGGAAGGACTGACTCGGGGAAAAAACCCTGCAATCCTTGGAAAGCGGCCGCTCCCATGAAATGAGAGCTTTCCACCCGTGGAGGGAGGGATCGGCCAACAATAATAGATCTCCACGATCGTTTTTTTTCCCGGAATGTTTTTGAGAATGCGGCATCGAAGGAAGTGAGGTCTGTCTTCAACCTGACTTCGAAATCAGTCAAACAGACGGCGAGAAGCGTCTTTTTTTTCGTTAGCTCCGCTCGACAAACAGTCACTACGCTAGCCGACACACACCGTCAATCGTCAAGAGCATTCGGAAGAGTCGGAAGTTGAAGTGCCACCTTGCGAGATTTCAGCATCGCGTCGTCGCGGCCGATCATTGCGTGGCGGCAGATTTTTCGACTTCACTTCTTTCCGAATGGAAGAACTTCATCCAAAAGTTCTCCGCCGACATCGGTCGTTTGTCTGGAAAGCGCTGGCCGGCTGGCGTAACAGACGCTCGTAAATCCAAAAACGATTCTCACAATCATGATGGATCGAATCGAAAGTCGGTTGAGCTAGCATCATTGGAGCGAACTCTGATCTCTTGGAACAGCGAGCGCTCCGTGACGAGGCCATAAATGTTTGCCGGACTCTCACCAGTTTCCCGTTCTCGAGCTCACATTCCGGTAGTGTCGACGACATTCATAAGCATAGGAGCTATTGTTTAAAAACGACGTGTCGCCTGGGAAGATGGCCGAGTCCAAAAGCCGAGATTACGCCCTTGTCCATATTCATGCGCGTATCTGATTACCCGGCATGCTTCTTAAATTACCGCCAAAATCCGGCTTGCCTGAGAAGCTACCATCGATGAGACGAATGCAGTAGGTACTGTCCCGCAAGAGCCATCGGGATTCTCCGTCTTAATTAGAACTCTCTCTGGACTGGCTTGTTCCTGATTGCGGCACGATATCGATTCCCTAGCCGCGAATCTTTAGCACAGGCAAAGTCGTAGAGCACGAAATCTCCGATCAATCTGATCAACTCCGGAGAAGACATTATCGAGGCTGACTGACTGACTGAGATTGAGTTCACCACCATGTGTGCTCTTTTTCGATTTCTCTTCGAGCGATTCGTGGCCAAGTTTCTCGACCCTCGGTTATCTCCCACCACCCTTGCGCAAGCCTATCGCCTGTCGATCGAAATTTCCTCATCGTCCGGACTTGACACACTGTCGGAATAGGTACACAATCTCACTAGGCAACAGTCGACACGGATCGAGATAGCCGAGCCATTTCAAAGATAGGTTATATTGTCCCCCTGCGATCCGGCGGAAAGTGAATGGAAAGATAAGACGATCGATGGAAAACGATAATAAATAGTGGTATTCGTGTATTTGTAAACTAAAATCCTAGGATGAAGATACATTGAGGACTCCCTCGCTGTCGTCATGGAATTGTACCGACAACTAGTAGACCATGGTGGTGGAATTGAGCCCCACCGTCGCCAGGAGAGCGTCCGAACCAGTCATGGGATCGGCTGCCATTGTTACACTTGAATCATGCAAACTGTAAAGTACAACGAATATTATACAAGTAAACGCACCACCGGTCAAATCGGCGACCGCCGTCAGGATCGGAATCGAGGCGACGTCGGGGTCGACCCCCCACTGCCACAGCCGGAGTACAGTTTCACGAGTCATGAGCAACATGATCAAGCCGTGAATGAAAACGAATAATAGGAACACAGCCATGAAGACCCAGGTAGCGTCCACTCCCTTGGTGAGATACGCTATTGTGAACGAAAATATTATGTGCGAGAACGGCAATGCCGCCAGAACTCGGAACGACGACTTCAACGCCGACGGTTTGCCCCGACAGCTGAACGGATGGTCGTTCCGGATGTCTGCGATCAGCTGTCGGCCTTCACCTAGGCGAACTTGTCGCCGAAGGACCGTGGTCATTCGGCAGACGAGGATCACCAACAAGTTTCCGCAGATACCGCTGACCACCGGAACGAAGGCCGCAGCAGCCTCGAGGTTCTTGCTGGCGATGTCGAGGATGTATCCGGCGCCGAGACTGATGCACATCGCGAGCAGGATCGGAAGCCATCCTTGCTGAAGATGAATCCGAACTTCAGGGCTCTGCCACGCGAGCCGGCCCCACATCGGGCACAGACACATGAAAACAATGGCCAACAAGATCGGAATGTACAGATGATCTTTGAGAAGGTAAAGATAAAACGAAGTGTAGGCGAAAATGCCGAGGGTGGAGATGTCGCCCAACGAGGCGGCCAGCGGGGCGCACACGTTGTCCGGATTGATCCTCGCTTTTCGGCTGAGGTAGACAACGAGGGTCATGAGGCAGCCCAAGAAGAGGCAGGCGATCGCCGCGGTGACCACCGCCGAGGAGATCACTACGATACAGTTCGCCACTGTAATCTGCTCTGGATCCTTGATGCCCTGTATGAGCAGAGTCAGGACACTGGCCAAAAGTGACACAATTGTAGCTTGGAACTGGGTGAGCAAGAGATCGTCGCGCAGGAAGCGCAACAACACCGAGTGGTCGTCGAGAATGCCCAGGTTCGAGGCGGTGCACAGCCTCGCGGTTACGGTCATCTCGAGGTTTCCCTTGAGTCCGAGCAGGGTGGGAACGAGGGTGATCAGGCTGTCGATGTTCTCGAAGTTGTGCCAGTCCTTGACAACGTCGAGCAGGAGCCCGGTCCCCATCGAGCCGAGGCCGGCGATCAGGAAGGGCCCGAGAACCTGCATGAGCGTGAGGAACATACCTTCTTCTCCGGGTTCTTTGGAACTCTTGAGAGTTTGAACACTGCTCCATTCGGGCAAGCTCTGCTGTGACACCGACTCTTCATCTTTCGAAACCTTGTTGCTGACAGTGTTGATTGTCGATAGAGTCGAGCCGAGCTCGACGAGACAAGTCGTCTTCCCGAGACTCTGATATCGGCCCTGGATGCCACAGTTGCCGAGAACCTGCTGGTTGCTGCTGTTCAGGTTCTGGATAATGCTGTTGTTGTTGTTGTTGATCGGAACAACAGAACGGTTGTTGCTGCTGCTGTTGTTGTTATTGTAGGAGGGGAGATGAAGATTGATGTTGTTGTTGTTAATGTGATGATTAACAGTAATGTCGTCGAGCGCGGTTGCCGCCACCGAAGCGTTCAGATTCACTTCAGAGTCGGAGCGCGAGTAGCTGTAGTTGAGTGGCATCGTAACGACGGTGATCCAGTTTCACTTCTCGGGGGCTTCGTTTTGCCACCCCTGCGATCGGGCAGCTATAACCCATCCAGCCGAACACAGCGATGTTCGCACTTTTCACTTTGGTAGGCGACGCCAGCAGCTGTAGTCGCACCACAGTCGAGCTCCTCGCAACGTCAAAGCAGCACTGCATCGAAGCTCAGCTCCCTAGACACTCTGCGCGCCAGCAGCTAGAAGAATGATCCAGCGCTCACACAGCAGCACCGTCATTGCAGCATGTGGAGGCATCAAGGGAGGGTTTTTGCGGTCGCTGCCGCTGCCAATCGCGGCAGCAACAACTGAGATCTACGGCGTGACAAGAGAGAGGAGCTTGCGAGCGTCGACGGCGAGGACGCTTTTGAATTTAGAACTCGTTCACTGTGCGACGGCGGGAGCCGGAAACAATATTGTCACTCGTCAGTAGTCACAGAAACCATAATTCAGCCGAGGCTCCTCTGTGCATATGGCATCCGTATGATCGGCGCGGATTGTAAACTAAGCCGTGCACGTTGACATTTCGCCGTGCGCACAGCACCACTTCACGTTCACGTATTGACGACGTGAGCACGCTCATTCACCAGAGATGGATAGAAACGACGGGATGATCGCCACTACAGGCTGAGCTCTGAGCTCCTCCGTGCTCCTCCGGTGCCGGTGCATGGAGACTCGACGTTTTCTGCCCTGTTGTGCCGACTGTCCGAAAAAATGGTGGATACTGCGAGTCGGACGCAGCGGCAGACTGTAAATATAAGAAGCAAGAAAGTCGCTGAAACTCGAACAGACAGCTTGGACTCGCGAGATAACGGCTCGGCTTGCTCGGAGCGCTATAGACTCCTGCAGGATACGATCTTCACTCCGATTAGCGATAGACATCTATCGAGTCTTATCACTGATCTTTCGCCATCTCTCTCGACATCGTGGTCTTCGCTCAGCGATTTCTACCGTGGAATTCACTATTCGTGGCTCACCGGACTCGCTCCTCGACGACATCTGTGGCGATTGACTCCTTTCCGCGATTCTTGGACTAGCCCATAGTACAGGAGGACGAGGAAGTCCTCCGACGGCTCGTGCCCCGAATAGGAGCCATCGTCCGACGAGTCGACTCCTCGAATTGCTAACAAAACAGTAAGGTCCATCTCCGGTTGCAGGGTCGTCGAGCTCCCCGATCGACTCACAGCTGCGCGGGTTGAGTCATCGATTGCAGATTATATTTGTTCAGGGATCAGAGTTTTTCTAGTATTAGGAAACACACGAGCTCGGATGACCTCTGGAAAAATATTTCACGAGGATGGCAGGAAGATGTAAACTTCAAATCGTTGGCTGCTCTAAGCTCACTGAGCCTCGTACGACCGATATCAATTTCAATGGCTTCCCCCTACTGTCAGATGAATTATGATTCGAGGGGAGGAATTGGCTGAATACCCTTCACGGTATGCCTAACCAAACCCTTTTGGCAGAGAGGCGATCAGATCGAGGCTCGAGGACAAGTTATTTTTTGCCTCACGAGAGTTTGCCAAGAATGGGATAGAAGCCGAGCTGATTTGAGAAACGAGACTCCGTTATTCGCTCCCACGCTCAGAGGGATCCTTCTCCCCGCCCGGGGAAAAACAGCTACCGAAGTTCGGAGGGCGATGGCCTGCCCCGGGGAATCCCGCGTGGATCCGCGGGGAGCGGATGGAAACCGATTCTGATTCCCTCGGTATGCACGGTACACGTTCTGGCTGTCGAGCCCAAGCCCGCAAACTCCTTCACGGAATGGGGTTAAGGCGCCGTACGCCAGTCTGCGTGATAAGCCCGAGTTATTCCAAGAACTGAATCGCTGAGCAGGATTCACTTTGGTGTTCAGTACGCTCTCCCGAAGAAATATTTCCAGGAGTCAGCGGCGCCGATGAATTCACGGGGGAGCTCATTGTTGCGCGCATCAGGAGCAATGAAACGTTCTTTGCCAGCCGGACCGGAACCATGGAAGTTTTTTGCGATGACGAGACTCCGCTGCTGTGGGCGCTGAAGGGTTTGTATGGAGCAGTCCGGGCAGCGCATCCGAAGAGAGCCGGTGCAGATTCTTCAGGCATCGAGAACGCCTCGGGTAAGGCGATCGAGCATCGGAGGAGAAACCGGGCGTTCCGTGCGAAATTCCGTCTCATTCAGTTCCACGGGCAAAAAGGGGTCCTCGCCCTGGACGGTTTCATCTGTGGGGAAACCCTATACTTTCTCGCCTGTCATAAAACCTTCCTCTGCATTGATTGCAGCGCGACCTCCTCAGAGGAAACGACCGGGAGGAGCGTCGAGAGTCCCCGCCCCGCGCCTCAAGGGAGGTGCTTCGTAGCGAGATCAGGAGCCGACCGGAGCCCGCTCAACGTCGCGAAAACGCGGCGGTGCCGGATTCCGCTCCATGTGCCGTCTCTCGGCTTCTGGAGAACAGCTTTTCTCGTGGGTGCCACATGGGTCCTGCATCACCCCGAATTCTATGACCGCGGCTCGTCCGGAGGCATGGGTGGAGCAGATAGTATCAAGGGCAAAAGCGAGACGTCTCTAGGTCTTAGACGGATTACCAGGAGAACCATCAAGTAGACAGCCCTTGGGAGATTTCCTCCAAGAGTCACGGTCACCCTTGCAAGAGGCATGGATACAGGAATAGGACAAGGGTCGAAAACCTGTGGAGCTGAGCTCTCGGAGCTCCTCGTCAATCCCTATCCGATAGGTGGCCTTTGCCCAATAGAGAGACCGTACCTGCGATCAAACCTGGGATCCGGATGTTTCTACTGAGCGTGACCAGGCTTGATGATGGTGGATGCAGCGGGATCCCGATAGAATGAGCCCCGCGGTGCCAACGGAATCCGTTCGACCTGATGAATATCTCAAGTGAGAAATGTTCTCCAACATCATTTCTACGGTCAGCCAGCCAGAGGAGGCGGCAAAGAAAGTTTGCGTTGTACTGAAAATCCACTGAGACCGTGTTCGTTGGGAGGAAAGATTTCGCTGTATAATTGAGGTGTGGACATGAGCGATAAAGTGGCATGATCAGCCCCTTCATGCTTCCATTCACTGTCAGACCCACGACCTTGACTTCCGTGACCGCAGAGCTGTGTCTACCGATCTGGGGATCCTGAGGTCCATCCCGCGCATCGCGATACTCTCCCGCCCTCTGAGGTGGGGAGTCATTATCGTCCCAAAAGTGGGCCGCGGGCCGAAAAACGAAACACCGCAGTACCGCAGATCCAAGTGTCTTAGTCGAAAAAATGCGCGACTATGTTCGAATGCTCCCTCTCCTTCTCATTGTTGTCAACTCGAAGCAGACGACGTCGCGCCGGTGTTGTTCTTCTGGCCCTGCCTGCGCGAAAAAGCTCGAACAGTCACATCGATCTTCAGAATGGCGATTCCACCGCTGAAAATCGCGCACCGGATTCGTCCGAAGTCTATGAAGTTGAGATGCATTCAAGAAGCTCCTGGTCGAGTCGAGAAGCTCCGCGTGATGCTCGGAGGTCTAATCCGACACGAACGGATTGAACTCAATAGCCGTAAGTTTAGCCAAAGCTTTACGATCAACGGAGTCGATCCTCCGGGAGCTTCGGCATATATTTCGGTGATCGGAATCTTCCTGAAGCTCCTTACGGAGTTTCGGCGAAGTATAGGCTGAGGCATCAGCTGATGAGCCCATCCTGTACTGCCGCCTTCGAACCCTCACATCTTCCTGGGAAACCAAAGCCCTCGACTCTACCTTAGAGTGACGGCTCCCTTCGATGATTGGTTCTGAGTTTCCGGAGAATCGGCCTTGCCCCCAGATGTTGCTATCATGCTTTCGAGGAGACATCGGCGTGGCTAGTTAAGCTCTTGGGATATAATCTTATGTCTATCTGAATTGTGATTCATTCTTCCCGCGAAAGATCGTGCCGCTGAAACTCGCGATTACGCAGAAAGGCTCATCCAAGACGCAGTCCTATATGGTCCCCACCACAAGCGATCGATGGAGATGGCCAGTTTCTGGCTCAAGGAGAAAGAGCTGGTCCACAAGCTGTTCAAAGTTATCGCCCCAAGACTCGAGAACGAAACTCGTGGTTTCACGAAGGTACGTTGAATGATTCAGTCGTCTCTCCAACATCCATAGAACTCGCCAGTCCATCCCCTACGACAAGGTCGGAGTGACAACCGGTTTCCTCCCACAGATATGGGTCCTGGCCGATCCGGAGAAAACGAGTTATGAACCGGGAGGTCTTCCTGGTGTCCACTATAAGAACGATTGGGTTGCCTTAGAGATCAAGAATAACCCGCTACCCCCTATACGACCTAATCCGACCCCTCATAGGAGCTTGTACATCCCGAATCTTCTTCTTGCGGCCGCAGCGGCAAGCATTGCATAGCTTCTAGTAGACGAATAAAATCGAATGAGTTTCTATTCTCGTCAGAAATTCCTGCGTTTGCTTTCCGTTGAAATTTCCCACGCAAGGACGGGCGGATACCCCGCTGCGATCGACCGTGAAGTCAGTCAGTCTTTGTTGGTCAGGCTCCGGCACCGGAGATCTTGCGCTGGAGTTGAACGGGAGTCGAAAAACAGCTACGAGATTCCGTGTCCCGATATCAGTATTTGAGCATGGTGGCATTCTATGGCTTATTAGAAGTTCACAACAGGAAGCAATGCCGACCCGGAGCATGCGTCGATTCAATGTCGGTCTAGACCGACCTGTTCGGACTTTTGGTGAGATCACAGGTGGGATCGGATCCATTAGCCGTGAAGCAACACATGAAACCGGCATTTGGCGGTCAGTGATGGACGCAGTATCGGGGCACAAAATTCTTCTCGGGGAGCGCTAAAGAAGATTCGATTTCCATGATCTTTGCCCAGAAAAGTTCCACGCTCGACGGCGTGCCGTCGGGGTGTCATTCCCTAGTATTTTCCTGTGAGCATACGTTCCGTAATCGAACACTTTCCGTTAGGCGGAATGCGGAGCTTCTTATACAAACCGCCCCGAGAATGCCCGCGGGGTATGCTCAGGCTTCCTATGGCTAGAGCGTAGAATGGTTATATGGTCTCTCGATGCAAGGATTTACAACATCACGCTCTCTATCTCCTATCTCCTATCAGATATATTCGTGAAGTCAGGAGGCTCAAAGAGATGTGTTATTCCGTTTTGAGTAGAGTTATCGGGGAATCGATATCGGAACATTGAACTTTCTCCTTCCGATTGCGACTCTCCAGTGTCTCCCAATCGGACGTTCCACGTCGAGAGCTGCAAAGGTATCGGAAAATGTCAAAATCAGATTAATTGATGGAGAGAAGGTCTGCGGGGGTACAGACACATCTCGCTCGCTCGGCCGTTGAGAACAGGTACGCGGAAGGGATTATGAGGAGCATAATGGATAAATGGATACCCGCGGCATTCGCCGCAGCGGACCAAAATCAACAGAGGACGGCTCCGAGACGTATTCCATTCCGGGTCAGTAGGAGATACTCACGAGGGGAATTTGATAGCGCTCTGAACGAAACTCCTTCACCGGACGATCATCTACCCATCATCATCTGGATCATCGTACTCAGAGGTGGCGGCAGCAGAGAGAGAGCGAGCTGTTCCAGCTGAGAAACCAACATTTGCTTGAGCCAAGCAGTCCCGAAAAACGTGCTTATCACTATGTAGAGACACAGGAACCAGGTAATAAAGCGAGACACGAGAGATTCATGCATGCTAGCGCCTCGCCTTCAATGAAACTGTCAGCTTCCCCGACATGGAGGGTCCCTTACCGAGCGGTCTGATAAACAGCTGCTCGGGACGGATTCCACGAGCTACCACTTGTCAGCGAGCTATGCTCATTCCCATGTTTTTTCCTCTTTTCGGGTGCGAGAACGACAGGCTCATTTGCTTCCGGAACCATCATTCTTGCAGGATGGGCACTTTCTGAACTTCAACAGACAAATCAGAAACAAAGGCGTCCAGGGTGTCGTAACGAGCCAGGCTTATGACCGAGGAACGATGTCTCCCTCCGGATGTCAGGGGAGCTCCTCACCGGGAACCTCCAGTCTTCCCAAGCCAGTAGTATTTCCGTTACATTTTGGAGCCTGCCCGAGGGTATCGCACTCTCAGACGGAAGCGCGGCCTAGCATCCGGCGATCCGAACCGACAGATGTTCGTCAGTTCCACGAGACGATATCTGACTGAGTGATTCGTCGGTCGGAGATGAATTTTTCAGTACGTATTTCTGTATCTGTTCTTGGAATTCGGGCGGTCTGCGGAGCCTGTCTCTGCTCGTGACTACGACTGTTTCGGAGCGAGCAAATGGATTTTGCGGTCGAAACCGAGCAAACGTCGTTGCCGTTCGCTTCCTTGCGACTGAGGAAAGGCAAGACATCCCGATAAAATTGCGGTATATCCTTTCCCCGCTCGGATAAAAGGAATTGATTGATGAAGTTTCAAGGTTCACAACGTTACGTACCTAATTCTATTCCTGCGCTCTCTGTTCTCGGAAGATTCTGAAAAGAGTAATGGTGTTCTGCTTCAGTCGATGCGGGAGAGGTCTTGGGAGCGACCATGAATCAGATGCCTTCCGGCTAGTCTGATATTCCACACTTGGACTCTCCTACAATTATCGAACGACCATCGAATTCAGTCCCTTCTCCCCGTGAGTTAGAAAGGGCTGACTCTTTTCTATTCTTTCGTCTGATTCTCATCTCACAGTCCTCGCCTTGCCATACAATCTGCCTCAGCGCCGTCATGCTGAGATAGACGGAAGCTCGCTGCTCCATATGGTCAGAAATCCTTCAGGGAGTTATCGCAGCCTTTCGTATTCCGATCTGATCCATGCTCCCTCCGCAGAAGAACCGATCCTGAATACTCTGCTCGCATGGGTTCTCGAGCGCGCCGGATTCAAGACTGCGCGGAAGCGTCAGGGACCGAAAGAGAACAAATGGGCCACATGGCTTCTTTGATGTTGAACTCAGAAGCTCATCTGCCTTCCCGAATTCAAACCGGACTTTTCGGATCCTCGTCGCGAGAACTCCCGACTCACAGAAAACAATTGAGAATCCCGTGGCTAATGATAGATGCTTCGACCAGTTCGGGTCTGTCCACTCTATCGGGAAAGGTTCCGCAATTAGTCCTCTATCCCGGTAAATGAAAGACCCCCCGGCTGTGCAGTACCTTTGCCTGCATGCCGAATCGTGGATACTGCCTTCCATGGACGTTGTCTTTTCGTGCGTTCCTCCCGGACGTTTCCGCGCCAAAGAGGTTCTGTGACAGTATTGATAATCACTGATCACAAATCCTAAAAATCTCCAATTAGATGCTCGGACCCAATTCTCAGACCTCATAGCTCTCCGCTATCTGATGTCGTCGACGAGCTGGCAAGACCACTCGCAACCTGGCACCCGAAAAATCAATCGATTTGGATTCGAATTCTAGCTACGCGGAATATCGTTCATTCACCAATTGGCACGTATCCGAGCTGCGATCGTGCTTACTAATAATTAGAGCAACGTTTGATGAAAATCGCTCGCTCGAAGATCATCTACCACCTCCTTATAAAAATTCACGACGGATTTCGTACACGGCTATCACATAACTATACAAAACACAGATATATTAATTGATCATTATCGGTCGGATCAAGTATTTGGAGTTGGTCAGGTTGAATATCACGCGCCTCGTTCCCGCTGGTGCGAGGAAGCTGGCAGGGAATCTCTTCCGAAACATCCCTCTAGAACTCGGCGAAATCATTTTTGTAGCGCTCTGTGGCCGCAGTCGGTATATCCTCTCGGCGAAATGCTTTGAGCCGAACTTGGTTATTCGGCACGAATGGGGCTGGATAGTTTTTTTTATAAACTTCTACAAACTGGATAGTGGCGAACCACTCATGTCTCTTGATATCGTCGGCTCCGGAACGCGCGGAACCGAGACGCGTCGTGCTAGTCTTATCCAGGAGACCGACGAGAATGCTTTTTGCCTCATTCGACAGCGGTATGGCTGGATCGAATTGGACGTCGTCTTTCTTGATGCGTTCTATCAATCTGTCATCGTCCCCAGGACACGCGAAAGGCGAGTGTCCGTGGAGCATTTCGTAGATCAGCACTCCGAGTGCCCACCAATCGACGCTCTTCGAATACGGTCGCTTAAAGACCTGTTCCGGTGCGAGGTACTCCAAGGTCCCGCAGAAAGAAGATGTGTTGCCGACCACCCGTTTCGCGTAACCGAAATCGGTCACTTTCAGGTAGCCTGTCTCATCGACGAGGATGTTCTCGGGTTTCAAATCCCTGAACATGATGTGGGCTGCGTGCAGGTACTCGAACACCAGAATGACCTGAGCCGCGTAGACTTTCGCGTGCTCCTCGTCGAGGTGACCCTTCTGAGCTAGAAGTCTGAGGAAATCGCCGCAGGGCGCTAGTTCGAGCACCAGAAACAGCGCCGCGTTGTCCTTGAACGCGTAGTGCAACTTCACGATGAAGACGTGGTCTACGGCGGCGAGAATTTTCTTCTCCATGACAACCTGCTCGACTTTCCGCCGATGGACGACGTCCTGCTTCGATTGTACTTTCAACGCGAAAACTTCGTAGGTCGAGACATGCTGCACTTTGAACACCATACCGAATGCGCCTTTACTGAGGTAGCCAAGAACTTCAAAATCCGAAAGTTTTGCCGTCGGACACGCATTGAGTTCGAGGTTTGTTTGGACCTCTCGGACCTTAGCCCTCAGATGAGCTTTATATGATTTCTCCGCGCTCGACATTTCGTATTCCCCGACGATCTGACGGGGCTTACTTTTGGCAGAATCATCGGTGGACAATGACTGACTGTCGCTAGTACGTCGTTTTCTGTACGTCGGCTCTTGAACCTTATGAGGTCCGGCCGGTACCGCCTTCGGCCTCCTCCGGGAGAAAAAGCACCCCATCGTCGATCAATCGATTTTGTTTTGACTAGATTCGGGACACCGACCTCCACTTCATTGTTTTCTCGGGAAGGCCTCTGATCGGATTTATTTTTCCCAAGTCTTTCAGTGCCGGGAGCACGGCCGAATTCTAGGAGCTCTCATGCTCCAGCGTTCCGATCTCAACGAGGAGGCACGATTACTTCTCCGTCGGTATCTGACAAGTATCAGAACTCCGAGTCCCAGATTGGCCAGGAGCCGTTAAATTTCGCGGAGGATATCGAGCAGGAAACATTCAAAACTCACAATTACGATCACTCAATCTCCTTTATTATCCGAAATTCACTACTGTACAAGCAGGATCTCCCGACCCTTGGAGGATTCCGAAGCTCCGCGAGTCCCTTCCGGGTTCATCAGGAAAACTCCAGCGAAATAAAACCCCTGAATCTATTCTTAACGGAGCCTGCTCACCGGGACTCCGTAAACTCGAAGTCTCGTGTGCGATCCGCTACGATGGTTTCCTCTAATGAGCAAAGAAATCGATCCTCCGATGAGATCAAATCCTCAGCCTTTCACCAGAACTTCACACCTCCGCCTCCGCTCCCAGAGAAGAAACCACCTTTCTTCTGCTGTGCGATCACGGTCGTGGGTTGACCAGACATCATGGCCCTCTGAGCTTCGTTGGGCATGCAGCCGGGAGGAGGGGGCTGAAGGAGACCAGGAGAAATTAGCGTCGAAGCTGTGCCAGATCCGTTGATAGAATTCATCGGCGGATCATCTTTAAATGCCTCTCGGGTCGCGGCGTCGAGAACTCACGGGAATCGTCGGTGCAGAGTGCTGATTGAAACGAGCTGCAGCATCGAATTGAGCGTGAACTACGTAATGGCTCTGAGCGACGGGTACCTGGGGAGGTTAATCGATAAACCAATGGCGACGGATTATGCATGAAAGTCGAGCTATCGAGTTCGTCAGCAGCTCACTTCGATACCGTTGAATCCTCGAAGATAAAGGATTTTTTTTGTGCGCAGTAGGGGGTGAATAAGCTGTAAGTACCTGTTGCGGCAACATTTGCTGAGGCGGCATCGTCGGGTGAGACTGATACTGGGGCGGATAATACTGTTGTTGTGCCATTGGTGGATAGCCCTGTTCCAGAGATTCGGATTAGATCCATCGGCAGAATTCGAGCGGGGGAAAACTCTCTCAGATATAGGCGAATACATATGGATCGTCGTCTTCCTCGTATCGAGCATCGGCGACTTACATAGGCTTGTGGAGGATACATGGGTTGAGGGGGAACAGGTCCCGGTGGATACGGGGAACTCTGGAGGATAAATTTCCGTCAAGTTCAAGGAATGACGGGTTCCTATTGAATCAATTGAATGATTCATCTTAACGCGTTTGAATTAAATTAGAAAGTAGGTTAGGATTGCCCACGCGAAACTCACATAGGGTACTGGATAGCCAGGCGGAGCGTACGGAGGTGGAGCATCGTACATTGGAGCCGAAGGTGCTGTTGGCTCTTTGCCTTGTGGATACATCTGTTTGGGATCCATAACGGAAACTACAGCGGGAGGAAGTGGAAATTTCACGAGACCGAATAGGAATATATATCACTGAGAACATCGGTATCGGAGGGGGTATTGCTCGCGACTCTCATACCGTTTTGAAACTCTCGTCGTATCTGACAAGAAACTTCGATCGCGATCGAAACATCCCGATCGATGCTACCAACCTGAAGGATTCACTCCTTTGGATGATCTGATCCCTGAGATGCCACACACGATTCTAGCTCAATGCTTCCGGGTCCCGCTGAAGGCAAACTTTCCTGACTAGATAGTGGACTTGAGTCGAGCCCAAGTTTAGCCTGTCTCAATATTATATAAATGCAAAAGCTCCGGGCACGCAGTGACACAACGTGAAATCGTAGTCAGCTGATATGACTCACACGCCTTCCTGAGAGAGGGAGGAGGTACTATATAGGGAGGAGAGAGCTCCCGGAGGAGCTGCCAGGCAGGCGGCCGGCCATGCGCGCGGGCAATACGAAATCCTCCTCTGGAGATCTGCTGCTGATCCAATTTACGACCCGTTTCGCCTTGGGCTGATGCCCTCACCCGCATGGAAGACGGAGATTCGGAGCGATTCCATAGCCTCAGAAATATGACATCATTTTAGCTCGATTATTCGAAAATTCAATCGACGTGATCGTGCACTGAGTGGGTCGAGTTTTCGTGTACTATCGACAGAGATGTTCCGAGAAAGAATTCCGATGCCGATTTCCCCGAGATCGCTTTCAGGCTGGGGAGAATGATTTCTACGCGGAAATCGACCCATTCTCCTTGAATTATGGAAACGTTCCGTGCTCTAACGATATGGAATACGAGGTTACATTGAAGAAGACTATCGAGTCTCTATGGGCAACTCAATCCAGAGATTATGCCTTCACGTCACGGCGACGTACAATCTGGAAATACGGTTCGATCGATTTGAGGGTACAATCAATCGAAGCGCTCGCTGATTCGGCGACGAGATATTGCAGCGGGAAAAATCGGAAGAAAATACACAATTCGTTCCGATAGGCTCTCAATTCTTTCTCTTCTCAGTCAGACGGAATATCACAACATATACAGGAGAGTACATTACAAGATCACAACAATTGATACAAATGTCTCGCGCGAGCGACGTCTCGCAGGCATCAGCCGAACAGACCGAACTTTTTCTTGTTTTCTTTTTTGCCTTTCTTGCCGCCTTTCGAGCCTTTCTTGAACAGCTTTCCAAACTTCCATTTTCCTTTCGGAGCACTGTCTTCCTCTTCGTGGCTCTCCCACGAGTCATGGTGATGGTGGTGATGATCGTCGATGTGATCATGGACTTCTACGTGATGATGGTGATCGTGAGGCATGAGGGGGTACCTGTGGGAAGCAAGTGGATCACCTCGCGCTCTTCAGCGGATAGATTTTCTGGACTAGAATCGAAAGGATCCAAAAGCCCTCGAGACGATCTTACTTGAAAACATTGTGGAAGTGATGATGCGATTTTGGCATCGGGATCATGGGAACCGGCATCGGAACGGGTATGGGCATCATTGGAGGTTTGGAGGTCGTTGTCGTCGTTTTCGGAACGTCTTCGACTTCGGGCTTATGCTACAGAATAGAGGAAGGAGCTCAATAAAAATCGAAACGGAAAAAGTTCTCAACCCTAAATTAGGAAATAACTCATTGACAGTTTCTACCTACCGCCATTATCTGACAGCCGGTGAGCGTGTGAACTTTCTCGAGGACTATGGGTCTCTGTGGAGGAGGCATCATCGGCATGGGATGAATCATTGGCGGTGGGTGGGGATGGACTGGTCGCTGAACGACAATCGGAGGGGGAGGTGGTCTGTACACTATGGGTCTTCTGAAGAAAACGGGAGGAGGAGGAGGAGGCGGCGGTGGATGGTGAACCACCACGGGTTCGATTATCTGGAACGAATGATCAGATCGGATTCGGAATGGTGAGTCGAGCACCCCAATATTCGCGCGGTGCAGCCAGTTCGCTTGTACACAAGAATTAGAGATGCTCGGAGGGTGTGATCTAAAATGTCAATTTATCAAGCGGATTCTTTTCCGCCAAGCCTGTGGTACTCTTCCCTCTTATATGGAGGGCTCTCCCTGCTCGAGACTTTCGGGAGGGCAAAGAAGAACTCCAGCCCTAGAACGTGAGCGATTCCTTATGAACTAGCAGCCCTCTGATATGTTCGTCGATTTGGGAGGACGTAGCTTCACGACTATTGACAAAACGGAACCACAAAGGGGGCTATGAGATAGACGAGCACTTCCTCGGCCGTTGAAAAATCCACTGGAATGGCTCACGGGGATAGAATTATCAGATTCCACCCAAAACCCTCGAGCTCCGGGAGGACACAGGATCCGACTTCAGAGACTCACCTTCTGTAGAAGTATCGGCGCGGGTGGGGGCACGACGTAGGGCCTGTGATATACAACATGCTGCGGAACCTGAGCGACAGCAGGTGGAGCAGGTCCATTATAATGGATTACGGGTCGGGGAGGCACAACGATTGGGGCGACTGGTGCGGGCGCCACCGCGATCGGGACCGGTCTAGGTGGATGTGCTGGGGCGGGTGGGAACGCCGGAATCGGCACCGGTGAGCCCCGCACTTGCAGCACCGCTGGCGGAGGCGGTGCGTGAGGGTGGAAAACGGGGCCCGGTGGAAGCGGCACAGGGGGAAGCGGCCCGGCTGCAGCTGGATGGTACACAGGTCTAGCTGCTACGGGCCTGAGCAACGGCGCCGCGGGCGGCAGAATCGGCCTCGGAGGGCCGTAGATTGGCGCGGGGGGCGGAATCGGTCTCGGAGGACCGTAGACCGATGGGGGTGGCGGCAGGATCGGTCTCGGCGGACCGTACAGCGGCTGGAGCGGTGGCGGGGGCGGGGGAGGAAACGGAAGGTAAGCGGCGGCATGAGCGCTCGCGGAAGATTGTGTCTCATCAGCTTGGGGCTCATTCGAGTCGACTTCAACCGAAGAGTTGTTAACGTCCTGTTCCGCGGAATAATAATCCAATTGATTCGGTTCCGTCGCATGGACCGGGTACAGAGCACCGGCTAAGGCGAGAGTCACGAGTAGGACGTGCGATTTTCCCCTCCCGAATATCATGGTCTCATCTGCGGGGAAACTAGTCGGTGGGTATTCCTGGGGAGCGGGGCCGTGGGTAGTCCTAAGAAGCGGAACCTTAAGTATTCCTCGGGATTCTTTTTCCGGAGTTCACTCGGAGCAGCAAAACCACTAGACACCGGATCGCGGTTTGAGCGAGACGCACAGGAAAGATTCACGCGAACATGCCACAGACACGGGATCGAGGCTCGAGCACAATGAGAATCTCCTCCGAATTTACTAGATTGCGAGGAAGTTCGCAAAAGCTTAGAGAGTCACGGTTCCAGGCTTCCCAAGAAATGTATCTAACCGAACTGAATGCGAAGCACTGTCCGTGCTGCATCTACTCTTCGTGGTCTTGTGACGTCTGACACTGTCACCGGAGACGGAGCTCACTTATGTAGTCGACGACGTTTCGTGAGTGAGTTATTTCTGGATCAAGCTTTCTCCCAACTTTCATAGGAAATCCGGTGGACGCGGCGGCGCGGACGGCATCGTGTTGATCGGAATGTTCGAAAGTCAAAAGGCGTAACTCTTTGCATAGCATCGGATAAGTAGGCTATGAAATTTGCCTTAGATTCTCCTTCTTCTGCCGCAAGCGTTCATTTTCACTTGAGCGAAAATGTGGTTTGCGGATGACTGTATCGATCTGAAGCATAGCCGAAGAATACTGACAAACGACTTCGAGAACTCCACAAGTTCCTTCCTTAGGTGACTGACACTATGACACCTTCCCCTATTTATACTCTTCTCCCAACTCTTTCTCCTCTTCCTTCCATTCTATACAATCTGTTCACCTTCTCGTCGCAATAGACCGGACTCTGAAGGTCCATTAAACGGAAGAGTCGACGGACGGAGAAGAACACACTTTGGGAACAATGCCGCTGGAAGCCGGTCCAGACCGTTCTACGGGCACTGATCCGCTGAGAAGGTGAGTCCGACGATATGCCAAGGACCGACTTCATACGCGATTTTACCAATGTGATACATGACGTGTAGGTGAATGATTTAGAAACCAAGTCTTGACATCGCAGTGAAAGTCTACGTCTTACAAGATTGCTTTCGTAAGTCCTGCCCCAACCTCGGCGCCGCAGAGCCTTATGCATGAGACGCTGCAGAAATCAGTGTTGTCTTATCCAAGAACCCAGTGTTGCACACGACCAATCCAAGAGGTTCATTCGAAAACGCGGATCCTAGCAATCAGGGCAATGATTGATGACCTTCCGGCCCAAAACCCGTCGTCTCCGAGCCGGGCTCATGGTGATGAACCATCGAGATGCTCGGAAAACATCCAGACATCTCGGAGTTCTCCCGGATCAATAGGTGGGCATCCCCCTCTAATGGAAATCCTTTCTGAACAGAAAGCAGTATTCACTTCGAGATGCAGCTTACGTCGACGGTATCGCAGTGAGCTGGGCTCCTCCGCGCCGTTGCTCATACCGGAGGCTGCTCCGCTTCCGTCTGCTTCAGTTGAAGTGCCGTCTTCCCCTCTCCGGGAATTACTGAAAATCGAATATTGGAGCGACTGACTGAATCCGCAGTCGCTCCTCATGCTATCCCTGACTCATCTACATTTCATGTTCCGTATTTTCCCGGGAAGCATTCCGAATGCTTCGCTGCTCAGACTACGCGGAGTTATCGAAGGAAAAACACTGAAGATGCCCATGTCTTCCGGAAAAGTTGCCCTCTGGAGCTGGCGAGGAAGTCCCTTGTTTGACGAACCCGATATGCCCCCTCATGAACCTATTTGTGGCCAGAACCCGGCCTCTCCGGTCCCGGAGAGCCTTAATACGCAGTGCAGCGTAGGAGCTTCCGCGAAACTCAATCGATAGGCGACGGCTTGAGCAGCTCTCGGAGTCCTATAACAGGACAAATCAGCCAAAGGTTCTTTATGGACAGGGGCCTGATGTGAGGTCCCACCGAACCAACACGCTGCAGGGGACCTCGGCACTTCTTCCGATGCAGGATTCCACATGGAAACTCTCCCTTCTCTCGGTCTTCCAGTCCAGCCGGCCGCACTGAAAAGCCACTCATGACGCTCGCTGAATGTTCTCCGATTACAGAGGTCCGAGCTCTAGAAGAAATATAAGATTTAACATTCGTTTTTCCAGCGATCTAGCCTCTCGGTCGTGTAAATCTCAAAATGAGAGTTGTCGGTAGCGGGGAGGAGTCCTCACGGTCGTCGAAGCAGCCATCGACGACGCAATGGCCATCCTTCACACGAATTCTCTTTCCCGGAAATTTCCTGACACGAGGACCATCTCTCTAGAGCACGCTGTCAAGCTCGCAAGTCTGTTGGCCTACGGCCGCAGCTTTTAAGCTGAGTTAGACGACGCTGCTGATGATGATGCGCAGGAACTTCGTTGATTTCTGACGACATGACGATGCATTGAGCTGCGTGAGACGGTCAGCTGCGTCAAGCACCGAGAGCGGCTCAGAGAATCCGGATAATCAGTGATGGAGGAGATATTTAGGGAAGTCGGGCCGTGGCACACGAGGATATTCCTGATAGCTATACTGGGTCACGTGCCGTTTGGCCTATTCGTGATGAGCATGAGTTTCATGGCCCCGAAATTGGACTTTACGTGCAAGACGTGGGCGATCACGCTGCCCCCTGAACCTGCGGTAAATAGCACGTACAATCGATGCTATTTCAAGGACGACGAGCAGGTCATCAAGTGCATCGAATGGGACTACGATCACAGGATCCACAAACGCACTCTAATCGAAGAGGTAGGCTCTTCCTTTTTTCCTCGTGATTGATATCGCTTTCCCGATGAAGGAAAATCATCTCCAAGTCGGATCGACCGTCAGCTTTACGTTTTCAGTGGAACGCTGTTTGTGACAGAGCGTGGATAGTTTCCCTCGCACAGGGAATGCTGATGCTCGGCATGCTCGTCGGATGCTTCGTGTTCGCGCTAGTCTCAGACTGGTACGGACGTAAACCGTCTTTCATTGCGGCTCAAGTAATCACGATCATGAGCGGCTTCGCGAGCTCATTCACTCCAGCCTTCGGTTGGTTCTGCTTTCTGCGTTTTATCGCGGCTATGGGTCACGGAGGGAAAAGAATGGCGAACACTCTGGGTGAGCATGAATTCGTAGTCGCCATTGCCCACACATGGAGCGAATAAGGAATGGAGAATTGAACTGATCCCCAATGATGGGTCATCTTCCCTGTCAGCTGTCGAGTCCGTCGGATCGGGACAGAGGGCGGTAGTGACTGTCGGTCAGGATCTCGGATGGTGCATCGGCATGCTTGCGACACCTCTGGTGACGTACTTCGTGCGAGACTGGGTTTGGATACAAAGACTCGTCGTGCTCCCCGAGTTCTTCTTCTTGTATCTGGCAATGTTCGTTATTCCATCGATTCGGTGCCGTAAAGTACCATGCCATCGTCTAAATGATATGACCTGGTATTGCACTCCAGTCGGATGCGCTGAATTTTTCCTCGGAGGCGCTCGCTCAATCTCAAGTTTTCAGTGTGGTTGACGAATCCCCCAAGTGGCTGCTTTCAGCGGGCAGGTTCGAGGAGGCAAGACAGATACTTCATCAGATAGTCGAACGGAACAAACTCGATCCCAATATCGACGTCGATCTCATCGTCGAAACCACGAGAGGAGCCCTCATGCACGTAGGTCACCCATTGCCGAGACGATCGCCCTCATGTCCGGCTCCCGGATTGGAATCGCAGGGCGTCCTCGGGATTTGATCTGTGCTCATATGCCTCCACATTATCCACAGGAGACGCATATGAAGAAAGGGAGCATTCGCGATCTCCTTCGAGAGAAACATATTATGATCCTCACAACGTCTTTCTGGATCCAATTGTGGGTATTGAACTCACCCGTCCTCCGAGACTGCGTCTCCGATGCTCCATTTGACACATAGCGATATACTCTGCGTTCCCCGCGTCTTCGTTTCCCATTTTGCGATCTCTGAAGCAATCTCGAGGGGAGCTCGAGAGAAGGAGCAATACTGATAACTCTTTTCAGCCTTGTAGTGATCCTCGTGTACTATCAGATGATCTACTACATCGTCGAAATCAGCGAAGACTCGTATCTCAGCGTCATCTACATGGGTCTCATCGAGATTCCTGCCACGCTATCCGCATGGTACATCGTGAAGACTTACCACAGGAAACCGGTATATAATTTCTTCTACACCTCAGCGATTATAGCCACAGCCGCTCTGATGTCATGTCCGGAAGGTGAGATCGACATGCGTACAAAACAAAACCGATTGAATGTATCGGGTCTTTGGAGCCCAGCTCCGGGCTCATCGAGATGGGCCATGAAAATTTCTAGCCGTCTCCATAGGTGCAGCTACCATCAAGATGCTAATCGCGAATGTTGGCAAGCTCGCCTTCATCGTGCTGTACAACTGCTTAGCCGTCCACGTTGCTGAGTGCTATCCTACGAAAGTCCGCTCAGTAGCGATCGGCACTTCACAGACGGCGTCGCGAATCGGGGCCGTGGTCGCACCTTTCCTCTTGGCTTTCGTGAGTCCGAGCAACATACGCCGCTGATTATTATCCGTCAAACAACTCAACAGATCCCCTGGAACGAATTTTTACTCTATTTGTCCCGAGGGCTTCTCGAATTCTCGGTGTCACATCGAGGCCATCGCTTACCCTCGACTGATTTAATGTTGACTTTTTCTCGTCAAGTCTATCATCACGGCTGAGTGGGTTCCGCTGGCTCTGGCTCTGGTTCTTACGGCGATCGCGGCCTTCTGCTCCCTATCGCTTCCTGAGACTTTCGGCAAAGAGCTACCAAACACCTTCCACGAGATGAAAATTCTGCTCCAGTGAGTAGCTCATTCTCATTCGAAACCTTTACCTTGCCTTTCACGATAAGAGCTCAAATTCCGTTTCCGCAGCACCGAGAGGAAGTCGAGAAGAACGGAGGAGATGGAAGCGACCGAATCGAAAACCAAGGAACTGGCACAGACGAGGTCGACGGACGCGAAAACGGCCAACAACGAGCAAAGAACGCTACCGACGTCGTGAGAGCCAGGTTTCCAATCAGTGGCCTTTCCGGAAGTAATAGGAAAACTGTACTCTACATCCTACACACACACGGACGCTTGGAGGTTGGTCGTCAGAACAGGAACTTCGACCCTGAAAATAGTTCCCTCCTGTACGTAATGAAGATTCTACTGAGAGCATCGTCGACCACAAAGAGAAGAGGGGAATCCCGGTTTTTTGACAAAGTCTATTTTCTCTCTGATGAAACTGTTATCAAGCTTTTCCATTGAGAAGGTCACATAGCAAACTTTCGTCACCATTCACCATACGGTCATTCGATAGTGAGATAATGCGGTTTCGCGATATCGAAACTCTCGATTCAGCGAGCTGGGAATTCCCACCATATTATGTACAAAAATTTGAGCCCGTCGAACCCTCTCTCTGACTGCGTATTCCGTCTATGAACTAAATCTCTGAATCGGATATGTGTCTTGAAACTCGGTTCAATAATATCTGCTCTGCGTCACGGACATGGTGTTTCCGGCCATGGTGTCCAGACGATTTTCTTTGTCCTTCTGTTTGCGTAATTGTGTTTCCATCTGCGACACTTTTTTCTGCATAGCATCAACTTTGCTCCGCAGCTTAGCTTGCTCTTCTTTCAGTTCTCGATTCTCCGTTTGCAGTTTACCCACGTACTGGATACGCTGCTTGTTGTTGCTGTGACCCACGAGCCGTTGGATTTGCTCCTGCATTTGAGCACACGACTTCACGTACACGGAATTCTTCGCTTCTGAGGTTTCGATTCCGGTTTCGAGCCTGTCCATGAGCTCATTGAGTGTCGACAACTGATGTCTGAGGTTCTCGTTCTCGGTCTGAAGAGCTTCAACCTGCTGGCCTCCCGAGCCCGAGTTGATGACAGCCAAGGTGAACATGGCGTGGGCTTCGTTCGCGCGATTCGCGTTCTCCAAAGCTTGTTGGACCTCAATGAGCTCTTGTCTCGTGGCCTGCACGTCTTCGTGTAGGATGGCGATGTTCTCCCGCATCTGCAGAGACTGGTTCTCGAGTTCACGGCACTTGCTCCCGTAGAAGTCTGCCTCGGCCGCCTTATTCCGAAGATGCAGAACTTCTGACTCCTTCGCCTGCAGCTGCAGACTGAATGATGCTTTGGCATCGATGAGGGAAGCTGTTTCGCTCTTGAGGAGCTCGTTTTCAATCTTGATTTTCTCCATGGTTTCCAGGAGCTCGGATTTTTCTGCAGAGAACTTCTCCTGAACTTCGCGCAGATGATCAGCTGACGCTCGGCTGAGTCTCTCTCTGTCCTGTTCGGAATTTTTCTTCAAGCTGTTCAGTTCGTCCTCGTGTGCTCCCTGGAATCGGATGTCCAAATGATTTTCTGAGCAATTCAGCCGAGCCATTAACACTATTGAATCAATCAGAGGATAGAATCTAATCAGCACTATTGGAAACTTCCGAAAAAGGGTCGGGTGATGAGATCCCCGAAAATACGGGGAAGTCGCACTCGATTGTAGTTCACAAACCTTAACTGAACTGAGATGCTCTTCGAGGATCTTGATGTTGTTTTCGCGGAGCTTCATTTGAGACATATGGGCGTCCATGGCTTCTTGATATCTCTGCTCGCTTTCGTTGAGTTGTTTCGTCAACGAATCTCGAACTCGCACCCAGCTCTCGACTTGCTCTTCGAGACTTTTCACGAGAGCCGTGAGACGGGCCTTCTCAGCTTCTACGGTGGCGAGATCCAATCTGGAACAACAATATTGAGGTAGTGTCCTCGTTTTCTTCCGGCTCCCTGCGTTGATCGATATTCGAATACGAGGCACGACAGGCACGACGACTCACTTTAAAGCATCCACTTTTGTGGAATCATCACTGGCATTCCTGAGAGCGATTTTCGTCTCTTCGAGTTCGGCGGTGGTGGCCAAATGGAGAAGTTTGATCGAAGACGTCTCATTTTCCAAAGCGCGGAGCTTCTCCCGCTCAGCGGCGGTCTCATCCATAGCTCTTCGAAGTGAATCATTCATCTCTGAATTGAGTTCCTTCAGCTCGGAAATTTCCATCTGGAGAGATTTCACTCTGAAAATAAAATATCTCGGTCATGATCATCCACATCGAACTTGAGTCCGAGAATGCGCAACGAGGTCGCGAGAATCTTCCGGTCGGAGCGAGGTGGAAGAAAACTGCCGGGATGAGATGAAATCGACTCACTCAGCCTCTTTCGCGTTGTTCAATAGCTCCATGTCCACGAACTGAGTCATGAGTTTCGTGAGCTCATCCTGAACCTTCTGCGCCGTGTCCTCATTAGTTCGGGACACTTGCTCCAATTCAGCGCATCGCACCTCAGCCCGACTCAGTCTTTCTTCCAAGTCGCCCTTCAGAGATTCTGACTGGGAAACTTTTCCTCGGAGAGACTCTGTGGAATGATGTAAATGATTATTGTCAATGATGAATCCGAGGGCTGCAGATGATAATTTGATGATATAGCACAACGGATTCCACCCATTGCATCTGCAATCGCATGACTAACTGCGCACCTTTCTCTAATTGGGCCGCGGAGAGTAATTCATCGCGTTCCTGAACTTGATTCTCGAGAGTTCTCATACGATTAATGGCCAACTTTAATTCAGCCTCGGTTTCGGCTCTGTGGCCTTCGAGAATCTCGTGCATTTTTCGCGCTTCATCGATTTGCCGCTCGAAGTTCTCCTGGCTCTGAGTGAGCTGATTCTGTAGGGTCTGTCTTTCCGAGGCTGCTTCCAGCTCCCTTCTGTGTACTTCTTTCCGGAGTTCTTCCAATTCTATCCGTGATAAGTTCAATTGGTTGGACAGCTCTTCGCTCCTGCTCCTCTCCTGATTCAGTCTGTCTTCCGCGGCTGACAGCTCCGCTTTGCGGTCTCTGCACTTCTGTTTCAGACTATTGAGTTCTCCTTCCACCGAGTTGGACTTGAGGGCGAGGCTTCCCTTTTCCTGTATGATTTTTTCCAAGTGCTCAGCGGTATTGCTCAACTCCCGCGCGAGTCCTTCTCTCTCGTCCTGACTCGCGCGGAGTGCTACCGTCAGCTGTGTCAGCCTCTGCTCGAGTTCTCTGACCTCGTTCGCTTTAGACTCGAGCTGAACCTGCATGAAATTGGGTCAAGTTATTCGTAGTTGGCGTCAAGATTAACCTGGAGTTCGGCCCACTCGATCGCGCGTATCGATTGGTATCTCCCTACAAAGATTCCCTCACCTTGAGACCCTCGCTGTTGCGTTCGTATTTTGCTTGGTTTTCTTCCAGTTTCTTCGCTTGCTGGGCGACTGTGTTCTCCAGAGCGGCCTGCGTAGCTTTCACGTCACCGAGTTCTTTCAGAGTCGCGAAAAGCTTGTCATCTCGTGTTGAAGCGTTGCTGTTCATGCTGTCCACGAGCGCGTTGGCTCGTTGCAGTTGGAGCGTGAGACTCTTGATTTCGGAGTCTTTGGCTTCAGAAGCTCGGAGCGACCCAGTCAATTGGCCTATCCTGTACGCGCTCTCCCCGACTTCTTTCTTGAGGTTCTGATTTTCTTCGTCGAGCTTCTCCACGCGTTTCTTCGTCTGAGGGCGAACGACATCTCGTCAGCGAAAGCAAACGTCGCTCATGAACATTTTCGAAAATCAAAATTTTGCCGACCTCTTCGAGCTCGGCTCCGAGAGCTGCTTTTTCCTTCTCCAGTGCACTCAGCCTCGGATCATCGACCTGTTCCATTTCAACAATGAAAGTCGCCATGTGGTCTTTGATGTCTTTTTCGCACATCGAGGGCCTCGACTCATCCTTGGATTGCTGTTTTTCTTCCTGGATCAACAGAGTTCCTTATAGCCCAATTTCGGACGATCCCGGAATTCCAAACCCGGGAAGGGCAATTGGAAGAATGGATCGGATGCAGGGGAGACTCGATGATCGAGTAGCACATGAAACCCACCTGGAGAATTCTCATGATCTCGTGCGAGATGTCTTTGGGTAATTTCTGAGACGGGATCGACTGCACAGACACCCTCCTAAGTTGCTTGTAGGCGTCTACCAAGACCTGATAGCGGGACAGAGCTGCTAATTTATCCATCTTGAGCCTGGATATGATCTGATCACGCTCTCGGATCTGGACTTCGAAGGTTCGCAGACGTTCTTGAATCCTCCCGGACCGCATCTGTTGCGAGTTGGAGCGAACCGAGCTCGTCGTGGAGTTTGAGCCCGTCGAGAGACTCGAGTCCTCCCGCTTGAATCTGCAGTGGCACCGTTCAGTCAAGGAAGTCTCCTCGTTTCGGACGCTCGCCGGACCGATATCTACAGACAGAGTTTCGACCTCCATCGGAAAAAATTTGGCATCCCCGTTCCGGGAACGCTAATCGAGACAGAGACGACGCAGACTGCTTAGGACGGGATCCGAGCTGACGAGGGACTTTCGAAACTCACCGATCGGGCTGCTTGCCGAAGGGGAGAGCATGGGAAGCGCTTTTCTTCGGATCCTTGGGATTATATGCTCCCGGGCCAGGGGTCTGACTGTTGGAGTGGAAACTCGTTTGACGGGGAGCCTTGTTGAACATGTTTTCAGCCTTACCCTGTCAATTGAAGCAACAGGTTTATTTTCCAGAGGCACAAAACTCGTCATCAATTTTCATCGCTCTCGTCTAGAGATCAGGTGCATCTCTCTCTCTGGATCTAAGAACCGAGCGAGGAGATCTCCTGATTTGTACACACCGCCAACGGCTACGAAGTCTCAACGGTCGCCGGCAGGTAGTCATAGAAGTGCCCGAACTCTCGGCGGTGATCGGGAAGCCCGCCCCACAGATGGCTCGCTCGATACTCTTTTCATCGGCATGGCTGATCCACGGTGAAAGTACCTAGGAGAAGATCTAATTCCTTGAATATGCCTACTCACCGCTCACAGTCTTGGATTTAAATACTTTTGTTCCGCGGGCTAACTTCGTATCACCTAGAACCACAGATCCTACCACATGACCACCAAAACGTACCACATCCAACATATGACCGCTCGCACCATGAACCGCGCGCGCGACCTGATGGGCTTCTCTCCATGGCGCGGACTCAATGAGAGAAGCTCCCGGAGCCGGCTGAGCAGCAATAATTTTAAGTCTACTGCGAGCAGCTGGGGCTTCTAAACAGCCAGAACATCATTTCAGTCAGAGGGTCTCAACGCCAAACCGGATGGAAGGATAACTCGTCCGCTTCTGGTCGAAGTTGCTCACTCGGTTCCACTGGGGGACTTTTGCGAGAAGTAGCGAGAACCCCTGATTTTTTCTGCTGACATTCCTCAGCTTCTCTCAACGATTTGATTTTAGCCCATGCTAGTGAATGATACACGTTCCTCAATACGGCAAATCCTCTGAATGCTGAATGTGCATCATATATCATGTCACCAGGGCTAATCCTCTCCATCGACAGATGTCGTTCACTTTTTCCTCGGAATATGGGGCGGAATAAAGCTATTTTACCCCTACGTGGCTTCCGTGCCATTCTCCTTCGCCATCCCATTCGATTCCTGATGGACTGATGGAGGATCTTGCGTGCCTACTCTTTGGAAACCGGAACTTGACTATGAAATTCCTCTCCAGCGATTATCCGGAATCCATCGTCAGGGTTCTCTGCTTCCCTGGTTTTGAAAGTCAAAGATCAGCGACCGATTAGAGTCTTTCTGGTCGCAGCGACTTTATAGAAAACTTGTGGAAGATTTTTTTTTGCCTGCGGCGTATCTCCGGCACGGGAGAATGACTGGACGAATGTATCTCCTGCGGTGATTGCGGCAGCGAAGTACAATCATATCAAGAAGCTTGTCGACTATATCGAGGGCTTGCACTCAAGGAAGTCCTCACTTCAGAAAATTTCCGAATCGGGGGACATCTCCACGCAACCGGGAGAAAATTGAGATCGGGAAATGATCCTCTTCATTCCATGGGCTGCTTCCAATCAAGGACCCGTCCAGATCTGCTCCGTTCCTTTGCTATCCTACGCGGGGTGGCCGAGAAACGTGAATATTGAATAGCGATTCAGAGATGGTGTGCCAATGCTCGGAGTGGAGCTGCGAGAATAGCGCGAAAGATTGCTTAATCTCATTCCATCCTCAGAAAACCCTCAATGGGAGTTAATAAGGAGCCCTTCTCGCTCTAGAGAATGTTGCTCACGATCCCCGACGTAACTTACAGAAATCTTCTGTATATTACGTTTCCTGTCTGATCAATTCTCAGGGAAGACGGAGCGAGGCTGGGCGAGACGCAGAACAATTTCGGACATGCTAAGTGAACGAAGACACGCGCCAGCAGGTTCTAACGCTAAGAAGAGTCTACGGAAGCAAATTCGTGTCACGAGTTTGTCGCGTGCCACAAGGGCACCTCCCGCAACCAGAAGACCGGAAGAAGAAAAGCGTAATAATTCGTAGGGGATCCTAAAAACAATGAACTCCGGGCACCGTCACCGCCGGTTGCCATGTTATCGCCCATCGTTTCCTTGCATGGAGCTCAGGCATCGGTTCCGTAGTGGTGACGGCCCGCGCCCAGATTGTGGTTCCGAATATCAAAACCAGGCAAGGCTTGGTATAGCAATGGAGAGAGAACCATGCCGTTCTCATCAGTTATCCCTAGATGAATTCCGAGTCTTGATGGTAACGGTCGTAAGAAGTCCGAAAAGCGAATTGCTGAAATCATTATGTGCCGGCAGCTGTCCAAGATCTCTGATCTCAAAGCGTGAGCCAGCAGCATTGGGAAGGGTGCGCGAATCCTTCTAGATTTCGGATCCCGCCCCGCCGTCGCCCCGTCTCTGTCGCAGCTATTGATGTGGTAAATCGGATGACTCGTTACCGGTCGTTCGCGACATTAATCGGGAAAAAAAGCTTTTTCCGCTTCTGGAGCCTTTTCTCTTTCGAAATACAGAAGAACACAGAAACTTCGGTTCCACATGGTCGGTATCGCCGTTTTTCCGCCGCGTTTCGATACGGGCGCAGCGAAATAAAGTCGTAGAACTAGAGCCGAGCGTCTTCCTCCAGCAAATCGAGATTGTTAATTTTGTGCATACCGTGTGAGCCTCGCGACAGCTTGAACTTGATTTGCTCGAATCGAACGCAGGCGACCTAGCTCCGTCTTCTTCGGATCTCCGGAAGATTTCTCCAAGGTTGGGGCTCCACCCTTTCTGAAACAAGCTTAAGATTTGGAGTTGCCAAAATGGAGTTCGCTCACGGAGGCCCTCTCTCATGTGGACAAACTATTTAAGATGCAGTACCACGTCCCGAAAACAACACAATCGATCCTCAACTCGAACAAACATGAGCAAGCTGATCGTGAGTACCCAAATGCATCGATGAAATCGAAGCTCGGAGTGTCCGAGAGAGAATCTGAGGCTAACGTCCCCCTGCTTTCAGTGCTTCGTTGCTGCCTTGGCCCTCGTGGCTTTGTGTTCCCAAGCCAGCCTCATTGGCTACGGAGGATACGGTCTCGGCTATGGAGGATACGGTCTCGGCTATGGAGGCTACGGTCTCGGCTACGGTGGATACGGTCTCGGCTACGGTGGATACGGCCTCGGATACGGTGGATACGGTCTCGGCTACGGCGGATACGGTGGATATGGTCTCGGCTACGGGTTGTACAAGAAGTAGAATGGACTGACATAGGAGTACCAAGTGGATGGATCTGTTTTGGGAGCACATCATTACGGAACGTGCAGAATAAACTTCGAGCACTGGCATCTGATATTCCCGTTTTCTCCAATGTCGACGAGTCGGTGGGACACGATGTATGTATATATGGATGGTATCTCCCCGAAAGCCTGATTTCGAGACCGTTTCACGCGTGACGGCACGTGAGGCGAGGAGTAAGGATTTCTCGCCATCCTCCCGGCTCGATGTCAACGTCGCGGCGGTGTCTTCATTTTCTTATTCCGAAAACTCCAGGAATTTTCGGGAACAGCGGAATTTCGAAGATAATTTCTCCACGATGGTTCATTCGCGTTTCGATCCGATCCCGGCCCTCGCACCGTCTCACTGGAAAGCCTCAGGCAGCTGTTCCAAGTTCCAACACATCTCTGATAGGTAATTCCTCTCGAGATTTCCGTTCAACCTATCACAAGCAATCTAGGAGACAGACAAGAAGAATGAATGGTCGGGTCCCGGTCTCTTCGTTTTTCCGGCTGAAGTTCCCGGCCCTCCTTCGAATCTGCCCGTCAGTGGCTCAGCGTCGACCCCGTGACCGCTATCCAGAACTAAGGTTCCCGTCGGCGCTTGAGAGACCAGGAGTAGAACGTTGGGAATTATCCAAGTGACCAGCCACCACAATGGGTCGTCCTCCTCGTGTGTTTCGAATCGTTTGGGAGCGACTCTTCCCCTTCGTGTCTGAAGCCTTTGAAGATAGCGAATCGTAGCGAGAAGCCTGAGAGACGGGAGATACCGCGAGAAGGGCAACCTCGGAAGGTGATCCTCTCATCATACGGAAGCATATAGGTACAAGGATTGCTGAGGTGAGAGGGGGTGGGGGAGTTGGAGATCGAGGCTGCCTATCAGGTCTTACGAACGATAGACGATCGGGAGTCTAGCACAGAATACTTGAGAATGCATCTGGAGAAGGGAACAGGAAAAAAGCGCTCAATAGAGAGAAGGACGCTTCGATTGCTCTGAACGGTATCTCCCCCTACAGGCCCCTCGCAATTACTATGACGGGTCAAATAAGCACGCGATATGGTCTCGGTAATGGCTCGACACCGAAGTAATAGTATTGCCCGACGTGGGAGTACCAAGAAGTCGGATCTGTTCCGGAAGCGTATCATTACGGGATTTCAAACCTACATGAACTTCTAGCCTGGAATTCGATATACCGTTACCACCGATACCGACAAAGCGGTGGGAACTTTCATCTTCTCGGATCCTGTTTACGGGAGTGTTTTACTCTGAGCTGGATTCGTAGTTCCAGATCGTCGCATCGCAAGTGAACGGCGTAAGGCGTGAAGAAATGATTTCTCGCGGCTCATCCGGCCCGATGACCACGCCGACGTCGGAGTCCCAGGCTCCCGCAAATGAAATAAGATACCGACATATGTATACAGTCACTAGTTTTGAGATGAGCCTAGCGAAACTGAAGCTTCGAGACATAAATCATCAGAAGTGTGCGTATGTTCATGCGCTAAAAAAATACGCATGCAGATATGCTCCGAAAATGAGCGAAGCATGCGCGAAGATATGCACTCTCAATTTATTCAAATCAACGCGTTTTTCATTGATTGCTTTGTACCATAAGCACCATTCTCAAGTTATCGAAGGTGGAGTTCTGACGGCGATCGCTGAGAGTGTGCTTCGATGCGGAAAAACTTCTGTCCACATCTACGGAGGTCAGTGGTGCGTACTCGAATGCCGAATGCTCTGCGGGTTGGAATCCCTCGGAGGCGCCGGTGCAGCGTCTGAGGAGACCCCGTGCTCGAGGACGTCTGCTATCTCGAAGAACCGAATACTATCGACCAGAGGTGCACCTTTGTTTTCCATGTTTTCGATTCCGCCAGGGAGACCCTCGGAGTGCGCGCGGATGAATGCGAGGTTCTCGGGCAGGGAGCTCTCCTTGGGGATCTGTTGAGTGGCCAGAGTACTTGCCGTGTCGTATCCGTCGAGTGAGTTCACAACCGTCGAAAATGCGTCGAAGTTTTCTGCGTAGTAGACTCCTGCCTTGAGCCAAGTTCCCCAACGAGTCAGCACCGGTTGAGGCGGCAGAGGTACTCCGGGAACGCTTTCGCGGAATTTGGTAAAGCGAGCGGCTGATTTCAGAACCACGCGCTTCCCATTAGCAACGAGCTTATCAACTTCCGGGAACAGCTACCTCACCTCCTCCGCCACCCGGTTGACGGCATGAGATGAGCATGGAACGTGAACCGACCTCGGGAAGAGAACCTTGAGCGCACAGCCTGCTTCCTTCATATACGATGCTCTGTCGGAAACGAACAAGAGGACCTTCTCATATCGGATTCTGTCGGGCCAGAGTAGAGCTAGTGACTTCGTGAAAACCTGGGCGATCGTCGAGTGGTTAGTCGCGTCCAAATTTTCCGCAATCAAGAGGAAGCTGGGGCTCTCAGTGTTCTCCGGGGTCCCGATGATAACGCGGGCGACAAAGCGACCCGTCACATCTGTACTTTCGTCAATAGAGATCCATATTGGTTTCTCGTCCGCCATTTTTCTAATAGGGTCAATTTTTCGATCGCATATTTTCGTTACATGATTCAGCCGCAATGTCCTCGAAGACAAGACTGGCTTATTCGAATGGTTCTCCAGAAATCTCCTCAATCTATGGTTGTCGAGTTTCCGGAGAGGTATACCGGCTGGCAGTAACGCCTCGTACAACTCGAGGTTGAATTGCGAGCGCTTTCCGGAGACTTCCAGGTTCGATTTGCACTATGTTCGGCGTGTTAGCGAGCAACTTCTTACTGGATGAAGCTCTGTGCTTCATACCGTTCAGATGCTGAGTTACGAGAAACCTTTGCTCGGCCGAAGCTTCTTTTTCATAGACTCGGCCATCAGTGGAGAAGGTGTCACTGGTCACTGCCGAACTCGTTCACATATCTCTCCAATCTGGTCCATCCTGAAGCTTGCACTTTGGGCATCTTTACTGTGACTTATTGGAGAATAAGCTAGGGAAGAGGACTGCGCACAGAGATATGTAGCAATATCGGATGGTATACTCAGTAGATTAGCGGTGGAATGCCTCTTAAGTATTTTCGCGAGCGCAGTTCGAAACCTTCGTTCTCTGTTGACATTCGCGCTCGTTTTCGTCTGAAAAAGCGAAAAGCTTCGAAAGCGTCTTACTTGTGCTCGTGAAGACGTGCATGGGACGTGTTGCTATGAATTGTCGAGATTTGAGCCGCTCCAGTTTGCCACCGCTTGCATCACGCGGGTCGTCTTCTGTGATCCTGGAAGTCCCTGGGAAGTTCGCGATAGATTCCGTCGCTGATGACATGAGAAAGCCTGGTACGGCAAAGTCATTTGATCGTTCGAGGCGGATGGTCGCCGCCACGCCACGCCAAGACGTCGTGATTTCCATCGATTCAATGATTGGATCTAAGATCAGTCAGGAGCTGTGGGAAATATGAGAATCCATGCTTGAAGGCCCTAATCACGCATTTTCTGGCAAAAACTGGCAAAATATGCATTTTGCATGAACATACGCACTCTACTCATCAGCAAGATTCGAGGGTGATGACGTCTGCCGTTCTCTGAGAGTACCGATTCCCTTGAGTTCATGACTGCGCCGCTATGGATATATGCACATATATGTATATGTAGGTACATGGAAGAGGTGTGTATTATAGGTACATAAGTGAAATAGGAAGGAGAATCCTCAGATGTTGACGATAATTTCATTTAGAGATTTATTATTAATCGATGTCGCGAGATATCCCATATAGGAGACACCGATAGCCAAGTTTACATAGACATCCGTTATATATTATACAACACACTTGCATGCAGTGTTTCTTCCGAGTCGCCTCCCCTCGGAGGCCGACGGGTGTTTACTCACAACATTTTCACTTGTTCACTTTGTTGACCGCTGCTTCCGCAGCTGCTGCGGAATCCGTTGCCCACTGAACACAGAGAATCACATTGAGATTGCAAGAAATGCCTCAAACTCGTCTACGATCTCGGCGCAAATCCTGCAAAATCTTACGTGGGGCAACGAGCCTTCCACCAGAATTTGACTAGAACGTCAATGACGATATAGATCACCGGACGTTTACGGTGTGTGGTTGCGTGGGTGTGTATCAGTGTGAGGTGTATTGCACTATTTAACCGTACACCGAAAGCCTTGGTTTCCGCTCGCTTCGGCCCCGTGCCGTGCCCGAACGTCCGAAATTCTTAATTCCTTCGCTCATATTTACAGTGAGAATGAGTCAGTCGCTAGAGTCATATTAGTTCACGGCAACCCCGGGACCATCAAGCTGTTTCGCGGTCTGCTGAGTTTGTTGCGTCGGCGCGTTACTTTGCTGCTGCTGTTGGTGCTGGTGTTGTTGTTGCAGATGGGCAGTGTTCACAACGAAGCAGCCCTTGAGCGCGTGGCATAAATGACTCACTGCCATCACGGTATCTACCATTTCCTGGATCGCGACAACCGCAGGGAAATGGAGCGCCGCTCGCTTCGTCGTGTCAACGAGCAGCCTCAGTGAAGTGGAAATTTTTTCGGAGCACCGTCGAAATTTGTCGCTCTCCAGGTAATCCGACAGATGACGGTGGAGGGTGTCTCCGATGCATGCGACTCGATGGGCAGCGATCAGGATGAACTTCGTGTGCTCGACGAATATACGCGGCGGCTGATTCTTCTCGATCGTCGACAAGAAGGCATCGATGGCCTCTCCTAAGTAAGCTATGCTGTCGTTCAGGCGGGGAGAGTAATATTCACGGAGCATATGATCGTTGCGAATGTGCGTCGGTACCTCTGCGACGGTCGACTTATCGGCGATCATCTCCTGCAATCGAGATTCGGAGCCGTTAGGAAGGATTGGAAGGAACCGAGGGGATCCGAAGGAATAATGCTCCACAAAACACGAGTCTGATCATTCGGGCCAGAGAGTTCTCCAAAAAACAAGCACCCTCAAGGAAAATTGAGTGGCTTTGTGAAAACAAATGGGCTGTACCTGTGATCTCTTGAGTAGACTGTCGTAGTTCGCGCCGAGGTCACCCTTGGGTATGTCGTTCTGCATCTGAATGTAGTCATATTCTCCAGCTTCCGAGGGGGCAGAAGTCTTCGGCGAGAGTCTCGAGGGAGGCTGTGGCAGTGGTCTCTGACGGATTTCCTGCGACGGCGTAGTCCGCCGGAATATCAAGGTCGCGTTGCCCTGTATACAGGAGCTGATCTGTTGCACATCGTCTGTGAGGCTCCGGGCACAGGCCACTAACCGATCGAGCTCGTCACGTTCACCTGCCGGAAAGTGAGTTAGTCAGTCGCTGCCCGACAGGAAGGGATCGATTATTATGAATGGATGGATGGTGGGAATCGTACGGATAAGTGAATTATTAGGGATTTCCCGGAGCTTACCTTGTTTCTGCTGAGTCCAACCGACCCTGTCCATTGCGGAACAAGATTCCGCGATGACGTTGAAGGAAATCGACATATTTTGGACGAGACGTTCAAGTTTCGCGGCAATCTTCGGATCCTGGGAATTATTCTTCGCGCTCTGAACCGCGCTCTGGGAGAAGTTGTAGAACGTGGTGACGCTGTTGAGGAGCGTATGCGAAGGCACTCGCATCCCTTCTCGGGACTCCCCGAGACAGGAAAACAGTAGCTGGGTAGCGGCTTGAACCTCTTGTTGGTGAATCACGAGGGCTTCAAGCGCCGAGTGCAATTCTAGATGGAGTTCCCGTACCGGCGTCGAGACCACGGGTTTCGGTAGTGACACGTAGTCGGCGGCCTCAAGGCTGGATTTCGTTCGAGTTATCGTCGGTGTATCCCTTGTGACTTGTGGTGGGACGTCGTATAGGCCAGATGACGCCTTCGTTGTCGCGATTTTCAATAAACCGATCTCTTGGCCAACCGGTCTCTTGTGACCTAGATGAGGGATGTCGTAGGCTTCCTCGGCTTGCTGCTCTAGAGAGGACCTATTCGAGCCACCTGTTCGGACAACTTATCTTGTTATTAAGCTAACAATGCACGCTAGGAAATCGTCCTTGTACTCTACACGGCATCGAGAGAGGAAGAGATTCGATCGTAGGCTCACCTCCGCTCGAGAGGCTCAGGTTTAAGCTCGTTTGGCTGCCCGTCACCCCAGAGCTGGAGCCTTGGGAATGCACCGAGCCGCGAGTATTCAGGGTGGCCACCGGAACGTCGTAGGTAGAAGACTTTTCCTGAAATGCCGCAACGTTTCTTCTCAGTAAGGGGCCAGACTGATCTTGACGTCTAAGAGCGCTAGCGATTCCGAATCCGAGGGGATCGTATTCGGAACGTATTGTGGGCTAAAAAACTTCGAGCTCACCTTCAGGGTACCCAAGTTTATTTGGTTCGGAGGCTTGTCGTAGAGCGAGGCGGCTTTCAGAGGAGCCACTGCACTCCGAGCGGCTGGAGCGTCGTATTCCGACGACTGTGCCTTGCCGGTCGAGGGGAAGTCGTACTGACAATCGGACAGCGTCAACGCCTTGAAATGTGAAGTTACGCCGCGAGGGATATCGTATTGGCCTCCGCTCTTGGGATCGTCGTAATTTTGGCTCTCTGAAAACGTGGCATACATAAATAATTTTCTCCGAGGAACTATCAATTATCATGATTGCAATTTTTTGATTATTCCTCATCTTTATACACATATGTATACGACAAGTGATTGACAGGAGCGGGTCTTGTTGCGAGATACAGGACGTGATTGACGTCAGGACACTCACGGGGACTCGCGAAGGTCTGCAGTTTCGGTGTCTCTCTAATAGGTCCTCCACGAGGCAGCGTCGCCACTGCGGGCACGTCGTATTCGGATTTCGCGCTGACCTGCGGAGTGTCGTAGACGTACACGTCTCCTTGTCGGACCGGGAGCACAACTCGACCGCCAGATGGAGGGCCATTCTGCACGAGCCTTCTATTGGCGTTCGAGCCCCGGTTCGGTAGAGTGCACGCATTCGAGGGCTAGGAGGAACGAGCGTCAGTATTAGTGGGGACACGTTGCTAAAAACGATTTTCTCTTGAGGACCATTCACAAGGCTGACTGGCGGGTCCCTTAAGGAGACGATCGATTGGATCTGTTCGGAAGGAATTTCGCAAAAGATCCTGATTGGCACAAGCCCGACGAGAAAAAATTCAAGCTGGGATATGAAACGAGAGAAATATTCCAGAAACTTTTCGCGGCTCACCTGATGTGTCGGCACGTTTTGCGCAACGACTCCCGTTGCGAAACCCAAGCCGGTTGGATCGTACATATAAGGCATCAGTCTCAGACGGTTGCCAGGCGCAATGCCTTGACGCCCTCGCAGGGCGCACAACCACCAGCCTACGCGAGAGACAGGGGGGAAAACCATAAATATCATCGAAGCAGCAAGCGCTCACGTGGCTTATGGCCATCGCGAAGGGGACATCTCGAAACGAGTCTGGTGAAAGGCCCGACCGCGCCGGCCCGAGAAAACAACACGACCGAAACTGTAGGGCGGTCCCGAAAGAACCGCCAACGTCAAGTCGAAGGATTGCTCGGGACAAGAGAGAATCGAAAGTCGCACTGGCGACTCCGCAGTGAAGGTCGTCGAGAGTACATACCTTGAAGCCCGTTGGGATTCTGTTCGAGGACGGTGAGGACGTCCCCTTTCTTGAACTCCAGCTCTTCCGGGGATTCGGCATGGTTGTCGTATAGGGCCTTGGCCAGGCAATTCTGAAACCGAGGGAAGGAAACACAATTTAACGGGGAGCACGTAGCACGTCGGATCGAGGCTCAGTCAGACTGGAGTCACTTCACTGCCAGCGTCTTGGCAATGTCCACAGACAAAGGTCAAGTTCCAGTCCGGATTGCAGGTCGCAAGGCCAAGCTCGACTTCCCTCGCGAGAGGAATCACCGGTCTTGCTAATCTCGATGCAAAACCTAGCCACCCAATCATCACAGACTCTCCGGCCGCGGGTCGACGGACACAACGTACGTTTTTGATGATTTGAATCATCCCTGCCATCGCGAAGCCACTCGAAGGACCGTAGCGCTTCGAGACAGTCTGAGCCCCGTCGTCACTCGATAGTCTTTGGAAACAGGCTGACCAGCGCGCCAGCCCGTCAGCCAGCCGGCCGGCCGGCTGCTGGGCACGGCCACCACCGCGAGAGAAGCCGCAGCCTGTACTGCGGGTCGTTGTGTTGACACTAGACGCTCAGTGTGCGCTCAGACTTCACCAGCGCCCTTGGGTCATCTAATTATTGCCGTGAGTCCTCCGTGCAGTCACCGGCAGCTAGTTGGCGGCCACCGAGTAGGAACTCACCAGTGCGTTGGCTCGTCAACTCATCTGACTGAGTCCGCGAATTACAAACGCGGCTTTGGCACGCCGAGAGATGTCACGAGATGTTCCGACGTCCGTAAACACGCGGGACAGAAAAGCCCCAACTCCGCCCTAGACTCTCCCGTAAGACAGGAGGAGAGGAGATAGAGAGAAACCTCGAACAGACGACCGCATCGACATCACCTCGGCTACGACCGACCAACCAACCGATCGATCGAGAGAATCATTGCCAAGCCCACGGAATCGTCGAAATGACGCGATGTATCATGTGTCGGAGCTTTTTTCCCCTCTTGGGATTTTTTCCCGGTTCCGTGAGGCTCAAAACGCTCCATGGAATGGGATTCCAGTGAAACTGTAATGATTATCATGAAGATAATCATGAGCGCCTTATAACTTCATTATTAAGTGAATAATGATTGAGCGAGGCAGTGAAAGCCAAGATATCGTGTCGAGATGATTTCTTCTACGTTTTTTTCTGAGGAAAAGATCCCTGGACGAATCCAGACTACCTAGCCGTCGGTGCTCTCTCGACCCGGCGGTGAGTCAGCGAATCGAATCAGAAGACAGGTAGTCCATGAGCCGGGCGGAGAACAACAGTCGGACGGCATTGAGAAACGGGACAATGTCAGTGGGTTAGTAAGAACAGACGAGTTAGATTAGAGAGACGCGGGGTGCTTCTAGACTGACAAAAAGAAATGTCCAGGTGGGTCTTTCGTGACTGGGTCTACAGACACCGTGTAGCTCGGGTGGAAAGTCCGCCAGCCAGCTCGTCCGACAAAGCCTCCGCCCTTCTTTCCAGCGAGATGCGCCCTTCGGCTGCCCTAATGCATTTTATTGCAACGACTCCGACGGCGGTGGCGGGGCACAACATAAAGCAAGCGAGGTCGCATGCCGCTACACGACCGTTGCATGTATTAAACGTGTTGCTCATGTAATGAGTCTGACAGAACGACGTCAGACTCGGCTGGCGGCGGCGGCGGCAGCAAACTAGCGCGCAAGTTAACGACTGGGGTGACTCGTATGTTTAGGAGCCGTCGCCGAGCGCCCATCCACCCAGCCGTATCCAGACGCTGCGCACGAGGCTTTCCACGCCAACGGTCCCTTGCTGTTCAAGAAAGCTGAAAAGTCACTGCAAGCGACGCGTCGTTCGAAGCGAGGTCAGCGGTTGCACGGAATTTCGGTGGCCCGTGCTCGAAACGCGAGCTAGGGCCCTCGCCCCTCTCAATCTCTATCGCTCATCGATGCCCGGATGATTTGCGTTCCGCGATCGCCGCGCCAGCCTGAATCAATCACCATGTCCAAAATCCTTGAACTCGAACCTTTCGATCGGTCCCTGTGGGCAGGATGGGTTCAGAGTTCTCATGGAATGAATCGCATCCTCGGTTTGAGGAGATGAGGGCTTCGCGAAGGGAAAATCAGGTGGACTAGCCATTGGGAATCGGTGGCGAGGCGGAATAACTTCGCTGTCATGAGCAAGCTGTGCTCACAATACGTTGGAGTACAGAGCTGGAGGGAGGCCTTCGGTTATTATTACTTTTGGTTCAATGGCTCGTGTCAAACGCCAAACTTGTGCCGCCGCCCCTGCAGACCGAGTGTTTGTTATCCGAAAGGCGAATCTTGCTTCGAGGGCCCTTGTAACAGTGAATCACACACTTTTACTAAACACTGTCTGCTAAACAGTTTCGGCCACTCTAGCAGTGATCGAGGGCAGGGGCCTCGGGGACCAGCGAGATCTTCGAGTTTTGCTCTTTCTTTCGTGGAGAAAAACATCAAAATGTCAAATGAAGAGGGAGACGACCAGAACCGAGAAAAAGCGAATGGTGATGGACGGACATCAACGGGTAGAGAACACGGACTCCGATAGAGAGCTGCCGGAAGTTCAGTTTCAGCATGGCGAGGTCAATAAAGACGGCATCATCCAAAACTGACGTCTTCTTGTCCGGTCCGAATACGAAATGCATTCTTTTATTCGGAAACTCTCTCAGGCGACTCGATATACGATAATGATAGTAATAATAATCATTCATAGTGCATAATCAAAATAGGGGGATCAATATGAGTAGAACTTCCGTGAAAAGCGCTCAATGTCCAAGTACATATCCCCGGGCGGAAAGGGAGACTTCTCCTCCACCATAATTCTCAACTCTCAAGTGATGTCTCTTCGGAAGAGACGCAGCTCTCGACATTTTCGGGTCAGATTCCTCGTTCAAGCGTTTGTCCCTCTCATTCGCTAGTCGCTCATCGTCCCGAGCTCAATGGTCTTGGATTTCCTGATGATGAACGGCGGGTAGAGGGACCACTAAGCTTTCTTGGCGTTAGACCGGGCGAACGCTCGACTTCATCCAGCTCGATCCGCGATCTCCGTCAGCGCGCGATTCACCCCAAGGGTGATTAATACGTCAGCGCTTAATTTCTGGCAGAGGTTTCGGGTGCGAAGCACTGCTCGCCACCATGTTGAGCAAGGTTATTGATGGCAGCAACGCCACGGCTGTTGATCTCTGTCCTCCGCGCTCTCCCCGTTCATGAACAACCGTCTTCGAATTGGCGGCTCGTTCAAGATCAACGAACCATTTTTCGGAAACCAATATTGTGAGCGCTGACAAGAGACTTCGAGCAATGATCTTACGGAGCGCTCCCCAGCCATCTCCAAGTCTCGTGCTCATTCATACGGTCTTGGTATTTTTCTTTGGCCGAACATCGGCTCGGCTATTACCGAGCCCGGAATGGGGAAATGTCGAGGCGCAAATCGAACGGATCTTGGACCATCTCGGGATTCAACGGGTTAGACGGTTGATCTGCCGAAGATCGAGCCGGGGCAGGACACGATGAGTGTTGGGAAGTCGTCCCGCAGGCCTGAACCAACAAACTACAGCGAAAAGACGGGAAGGAAAAAAGGGTCGCTCTGCTGTCTGTGTACGCAGAGAGCGCAGATGGACTTGACAGAGCAGATGGGTGTGTCGCCAGATTGCTCAAATAGGCTTAGCGGTGATGGGTGATGGTAATTGGTTTTCACAAAAAGAAAACCCTTCATCCAGTTGCGCTTGCTTCGGCGTTCAAGGGAAAGACGCCAAAGGGAGCAGCCGATCCGGCAGTAAGGTCGATTAAGGAATTCTCCTGTCTCGAACATTTCGAGCACGAGCACTTCAGCCCCGGGACATTTCGAGATTTCCCGCGTCGGAAGCCGAGCTTCCGCGACGGTCTCGCCGTCTAGGGAGCCCTCCAGAATCCCCTTCCCGGATTGGGTTTACAATCCCATCCACTTACCCCCTTCGATAAACATTGGGCCGGAGTAAGCCGTCCTAAACGAGAATTCTACTGACGCAATCCGTTTTCGTACAGGGCACCGCTCATCCCTGGCCGGATGGATGAGCGGTGAATAGACTCTAGATAGTAGGAGCGCACGGTGTCTGAGACCGTCACGGCTCCACGACGTCGATCCGGAAACTCAATGAGCTCCGAGCGAAACGTTGGCGCCATTTTCCTTTTCCCTAGCGACTGCCAACGGTTCGCTCGAGCAACGACTCAGAGAGCTCTCATTAACGCCTCAGTTTTGCTAGTCGCGAAACCCATCAGACCGAATTTCATGAATTGAGCTCGACGGCAATTCATGAATAATCACAAGTCCTCCAATAGTGAAGCGCGTCGCGTGTTTTTGGGGAAAAAATCGTGCTTGTCGCTCACGCTCTCCCGACCCGAGTCTGGGGACTCGTATCGATCTGGCGTTCCCAGCGAGTTTTCATAAAACATGAGCGACACATGACCATCGGCACAAATGCACGAAATTCCTCGAAGATAACGTAAATGATCGTAGTGACATCTATAACGGGCTTGATGGGGAAAAGCAGGAAGCGGGTGATGACTGGAACGGGCGGAAATTATTCCGCAGAGACCAAATGAAACTCGCGATAGGAGATAAGGTGTTCGCTTCCCATTCCCCGTATTCGGGAGTCTCTCGTGGCGTTCACGTGCGAATGTTCCCCGTAATACATGTCTCCTGTTCTCCCGCCTTCCGAGTAGCTCCATATGATCGCGACTATCGTTCCCCAGCCTCTGGACGCGGGAGCATCCTGACCACCGTTTGAAGGCGCGTCAGTCAGAGGCAGGGTAATTGCTACGTGTCTCCGTCGTTAGCCGAATCTCCATTTCGATCCGGTAAGTCGCAATCGTGTTCCTCGGGACGGCTCGTTCTAGTGGTCGAATATCTCGGGAGCTCCGAGGGGAATTCGAAAGCAGATCAGGCACCTGCATCCCAAACGCGGAACGACTCCCCGAGGAAGATCGGGAGCCGACCTTCAGAATCGCAATCAGGACAGCACAATTCGACTGAGCGACGTACAAACTATAAGAGTCTTGATCGACCTGCCAGCTCGATCCTTAGCAGGCCGGCTCGTGC